CTAATCCGGCACCATCATTCGAGAAGCGATTGGCATACACACCTAACCAGCTATCTTTAGTATTGCCATTGACAGCTCTTCTTGATCCATTTGTATTGCTTAAAAATCCAATATTGTCTTTCACTGTCAGTATATCTCCATTTTTTATGTCGGCAATGCTTCTGTCTTTCGCAATTATCATCTCCCCTTCTTTTGTGATAGAAATGTTTGTATGATAGGTGTTTGTAGATGGTGTAAAGTTGACAAAACTGAATGCCTTTTCTGTGATTCCAGTATAATCTCCATACGATGAAGCATGTATTGCTCCGGGAAATGCGTTGTGCAATATGCCAAAAGCTTCAATACCTGCACTATTTGTGGAAAAGTAATTTGCATATATACCAGCAGAACCTTGAGTTGTATGACCACTTATACCTCTGTAAGTACCTTCTGGTGCTTCTAACCCTATACTTCTTTTTACTGTGAGATAATCTTGTGGTGCTAATGCAGGCAAGTTGTCACTTATTATCACTTTGCCATTTTTCATGATGCCTATTTGTGGTATCCATGCAGAAGTTGTTCCAGATGTGTTGTTTTGAAATATGTGTCCATATTCATCTAAACTACCGGCCCCTAATGCGTTATGATATGAATTGTAATGTACTTGTCCGTTAAAGGTTCCGTGGGCATCGCCAAATACTTCTACATTTGCCCCATCAGTAGGTGAGGTATTTACATACAGTCCTAAAACACCAAGTGGAGCCACGCCTCGTATATATCTGATCGATGTAGGACTAACTGTTGGCATTTCAATTTCGCCACCTTTTACTTGGAGTTTGAGTCCAATTTCACAGTTGCCGGATGTGGTGGTGGAAATATCCGTTCCTGATGGTGTCCAAATGCTTTGCGCATGAATAAATTGCGTCAGTGTAAACATTGAGAATGTTAAGTATATTTTTTTCATCTTCATTTTGTTGATTCCCAAAGTTCGAATTAATGATTGAAGATCCACAAGAATACGTGCTATAGGTTATCTGTTAAAGTGATAACTTATTAGTTTGATGATTACGATTAGCAGATTTTTTTAT